CAGAGATCTCTGAATGGAGGGCGAAAAGTTGGGAAGAACAATTTGGGAAGAGCAGGGAGCCCTAAGATTTTTGAGCAGAGAAAAATTAACCTGATAACATGTACAGGATGAATGAGAGAGAGGAGAGGATAAAGGCAAAGAGACTAACAAGTGACTGTAAGATCCAAAAATGAGATCAGAAGACCTGGCCCATGAGTGGCATCAAGAGGCTTGGAAGTCAAGGAGCAGATTAAAGCCTACATGTTCCACTAACCAAAAGCACCACGCAACTCAGATGGGCAACTAGGAAACAGACTGGGAAAGGTAAATATGCTACTGGTAAATACTGACAAGAAAGAGGAAGGAGAGAGACTAGTCTTGAAAGACAATTTAATGTAACATGGAGATTCGAGAATTAAAACAGTTTGGTACTAGAGAAAAATAGAATGTCCAGAAGTAGAGCAGAAAGCAGGGAAAATAATGAATGTTTAACACAGCGTGGGAAAATGCAGCTAACTGGGGAAAAAGCTGCCCCCCGACTCTTTCCATCAAAATAAATTCCAGAAGCATCAAAGAATTAAAAGCAAAAAACGAAACCATAAAAGTCCTAGGAAAAAGGGATCAATATCTATCATTTATCAGAGTTTGAAGGCCTTTCTAACTAGGACCAAAACTCAGAAGCCATAAAGGAAAAGCTTAACAAATCTGCCTACATAAAATGATATGCTTCTGAATGACAAAAAATACCAGGAACAAAGTTAAAAGAAAAACAACATCTTGGGGGAAATATTTACAATACACTTAAAAAGGCATACTTTTCTTAATGTACAAAGAGCTCATAAAGAGGAATGAATAGAAAAATGGGCAGTTCATAGAGAAAAAAATACAAATGACATAAAGTTGCGGATGAAAAGATGCTTTACCTGATATAATAAAAGACATGGATTGATACAATGTATCATTTCTGACCTAGCAGATGAGCCAAAGTTAAAAAGTTAATGGTGATGGCAGGGGTGTGAGAAAAAGACACAAATACACTGTTGGCGAAGTATAAATTGGTGCATTCTTCCTGAATTTGCTATTAGTGACCAAAATCTTAAATTCACATATCCCATGGCCAGAAATGTACCCTTCAGACTCTCAAGTTTACAAGATGGCATTTATAAAGAGGTTCACTGCACTGCTGACTGCAACTGCAAAAGGCAAGAAACAATCCGAGTATCCTTGGGCAGGGAACTGCTCAAATAAATGGCATATTCAATGGTGGAATATTATGCAGTTTCGGGACGAGGGAGGGGGCTCGGAAGAGAGGAGGGAGAGGTTCATTGCCATTTTATGTCTACAGCTCCTCTTTGAACACATCTACAACTTTAATTTTTTTTTTTAATGTTTTCTTGGTCACAGATTTATGGGCACTTTAGGTTTATTGAAGCATCCAGTTTACAGGACTGTGCTCTGAAGAAAGAGCTAAAAAGATGTAGCACTCTAAATTTAGCAATAGCTATCAAAATTAAAAATGCACGTACCATCCGCTCCAGCAACTCCACTGCCGAGGATTTACCTCATCATAAACTTACTCAGATACAAGGATGCTTACCCCAGCACTGCTGCTAAGTGCAAAAATTAGAAAAACACCTCAAAGTCCTTAAACTGAAGACTAGTTACATAATTTGTGCTGCAGCCACCTTACTGAGGAAGACCTTCATGTGCGAGTATGGAAAGTGTCCAAAACAGACTAGTAAGTGAAAAAAAGTAAGTACAGTATGATCTCAATTTGTATAAATTTTTGAAAAGACATGCATATATAATTCCTGGAAGGATACTTAAAGTATTAACAGCAACTACCATTAGTGAGGGAGCTTAGGGGAAGGAAGCCTTTTATCATTTTATATCTTTCTGAATTTGCCATTGTTACTTTTTTTAAATAAAACTTTTTAAAAAACCTAATGATGTAGTATTCTGAATTCTTTATGAGAACAAGGAAGACTAAACTCACTTCAGCTTTTACTTTCTTATTCACCCCCTGCACAAGCAGTAAACAAATAATAAAAGGGCCACTGGGGAAGCTACGGGAGAGGAGGAGACGGAGGGCCTGGGTTACTGAGCCGGTCCTAGCCCTCATTCCCTCTCGCCAGGCCTGCCAGGACAGCGTCCTATCTGGCTTCCCAGCCTGTCCGCTGAGATGCCACATCCATCTCGAGCACAAATCTGACCAAGGCTCCCTAGTTTGAAAGCTTCCCTAGCTCCCTATCCCTCAGAGGACAAAACCTCACTCCCTGAGGGGGATGTGCTGTCCTTCCTATGCTGGTTCTTCCCACCCTTCCAGTTCTCCCTTCCTTGGATTTATGCTCCAACCCCACCAAACTGAGAGTCGACCCCCATGAGTTGATGCTATTTCTTGGCTCCCCACCATCCCTCCCTCCTTTCATAATTTAAGACTCGTGGTTGGCATCACCCCTTAAGGAGCCTTCTGACTCCTCCAGGTTTCACGAGGTCTCCTCTCTCATCACTGCCCTCATCAGTCTGTCTCCTTGCCTCATTAGCCCATAAACTCAAACACATACCTAGACATGATATTTTAAAATCGGATCCTAGCCTTTTTTCATGGTGATAGCATCTCTCCTTCTCTCTATGCATACTGTTTCTTCCAAGTGGCTTTTTCTGCTCTTGTTTTGTCCTGTCTTTCTTACTAGGGGTTTTCTTCACATGCTTAGTGACCCTGGCTACCGGGTCATATGAACTGACTGTGGTCTTTCTTGGGGAGCCCCCAATGACTTTTCTCTTGGGCTGGTCAGACACCCCAGAGAAGGTACGTCTATTCTCTTTGGCTGCCAGTCTAGAAGCCAGGTAGGGGAAGAAGGCTAGGGTGGGGTCTCAATATCCAGTGTGTGAACTTTCTCTTCCTCCCTATTTCCAACATGGCTCCCTCCCTTAAACTCCTGCACTGTGCCTGGTGTCCCCCGAGTCCAGATAATCTTTGGCTTATTCTTTCCAAAGAATAAATCTCGGGAAAGAGTTACCCTTTAATTGTCGGCCAAGATGGAAGAAGAGCAGTCACCTGTCTGCTTCAAGTGAGGAGAGAGGACTGTGGGGATCTGCTGCTTAAGGAGACTTTTAAGTAATCCTCCTGTTCTTAGTCTCCTGTCACCCCTATTTCCAGAGGTCCCTGGCAACGCCAATTCCTGAGATGTGGGGGGAAGCCACGGTCAAAGGCAGGTGCTTCTGCCAACCAGGGGCTGATAGGTGGGTTAGCCCTTGGCCATCTGCTTTGTGGCAATTATCTCCTCTCCTGTTCTTTTTGGGTCTATGCTTTAAAAAAAAACCTCTTCACTGTCCTTTTAGAGGAAACTGAGACAAACATGAAATCAACCCACCATCTCTCACAGGAGGATGCTCTTGAGTAGACCTCACAACAACCTTACCATTTAAGTATTATTAGTTCCATTTCACAAGAGAAAAAGAGGCTCAGAGAAGCTAAGTAGTTTGTCCAAGGTCACCCAGCCAGTACGTTATACGGCTCTAGTCTGAACCCATCGTTTGAGGTCTGTTATTATTATTCACATATTAGAGATAAGAAAATAAGGCCTAGAAGGGTTACATGTTCTCCCAGACTACAAGGCAAGCAAGCGTCAGCATGAGCCTCGAATGCAAGACTGACTGCAAAGCCATGCTCTCTCAGAGGTACCTTGCTGCCCCTTCTTTAAGGCCAGCCCAGCTCAACTGCTCTACCGGGGCTCGAGAACATACTCTGCAGGCTCCAAGAACCGTCCTTGAGAATGTGTACATTTTGTGCTTTCATTCTTCCATATTTTTCTTAAAACCGGTGTAAGAGTATTTGCATTAATCTGGACAGCCCCTTTCCAGTCCAGTACTGCGCTGGGGCTGCAGGGTCGGCGTCCGCAACTGTGTCTGCAATCTCACTGCCGCCGCAAACTGCTGCCTGCTGAGCACAGGCTAATGAGAGCAGACCGGAGTCTGCCTGACCCTATAAGCAGGATGCTCACCCCGAGTGAAGCCACATGAAGTCAGGGTCTAACGCCAGAACAAAGGCTTTGTGTTGTCTGAAAAGTGGGGGAAGAATCGGGTCAGCCCACATCAAGTGAAGTAGTCCGGCTACACTTAAAGGCTGGGCCATGAACGCCACTTCCCTGTCGTGAGCAGAAATTCCATCTTAGCAAAACACCCAAGAGCACAGTGACGTTCACCTGAATGTTGCCGTAACAGTAATCTTCGTTTTCATTTACTTTGTTTTGGTTTTTAACAGCTGAATAAGAGTTACGAGCCTAGGAGTTTACACCTCGTATCGTGCGGATATAAAAAACAGTAAAAACAATTCAGGCTAACATGGGGATCTGCAAGACTGTGTTCTTTTTTTTGTTTCCTTCACAGGGTCAGTTTGCAAACTGAGACTAACCTGAAGGCTGGTCAAAAGGATGACAACCCCCCCTTTGAGACTATGTGAGAACACAGTACTACAGGGGTCGATTTGGTGGGGCGACGTCTGTGTCTCGCTGTCTGCGACGTTTCCCACCCTCCCCCCTCCGGCGTTTCTGAACTACGGGTCATTCCCGCTCGCGTCTGCCTCTCCCTCCAGCCGAGGAGCCGCGTGAGAAGGGCTGGTCAGCCGGCCCCTCCTCCTCCGCAGGCCCCCAGCACTCAGCAGTGCGCCGGGCGGGGCACACGAGGCACCGTCGGCTCTGCGAGAAGGGGAGCGAGCGGGCGCCCCCCCGTCACGGAGAAGCCGAGGCTCAGACGCCCGAGCCGCTCGTGACCAGCAGGACGCACACTCGGGCGGCACGGCAGCGCTGTGGCTCCGAGAACACCGCCAGGCCGTCCGTCGCGAGGTCCGGCAACGCCAGGGCTCAGAGCGTTTGCCGGACTCACGGGCCGAGCCGGTGCGGTCCTGGGAGAGGCCTCGCCCCCCGGGCCTCAGGTTCCCCATCTATAAAACGGGGGCGCACCCGCGAGCGCCCGCACGAGAAGCGGGAGGGCGTGTGGAGCTGGTCCTCTCCGGCCCTTACCATTTGATGATGTTGTGAACCAACGGCAGAAAGGAGAAGTTCTCCTCCTCCTTCACGCCCGCCGGGGACTGAGGCCTCACCGCCGGAGACCGCTGCGGCTGAGGCGCGGCGACCGGCGGCGGTGCCTGCGGAGGCAGCAGCGACTTCGTCTCGGGCAGCGGCGGCTCGGCCGACGGCGGTAACGCATCCTCAGCCTGTCGCCCGGCGGCCACCCCGGCGGAGGCCATGGCGCTCAGGACCGGCCACTCAGACAGCCAGCGAGACCCGAGCGGTCAGCCCGCCGAAAGCGTCGCGCTGCCCCTACGTCACTACCGCGCGCCCGCGGGGGCGGGACCCGGAGAAAGGCTGTGAGCATGCGCACCAGGGCGTGCGCGGGGCAAAGGCACGGGGCGGGGCGGCTGTTACTAGGCAACAGGAGGTCGGCGAGTCTGCGGTGGCCTGGGTTTGGTTGCGTTGAGAGAGCTAAATTATTAAATAGTCAGGAGATTTATTTCAGAAATAACATCTTATTCCTTTTCACGTGACGACGAGGGTCCAAAAGCAACTAATACAGGAAGCGTGCGATGAATAAGGCCCAGCACGGCCCAGCCCTGGGAGAAGGCCGCCCGAAGAACCAGCTTGAACCGCGCGCGGAGTGGACCGCCGTCACCGGGCGCCTGCTATGTGTAAGGCGCCGGCCCTGCGGGCGTCGAGAATGCGGAGAGGAAGGATCTGCAGCGCTTGCACCACGCGGGAGCCTCCAGGGGGAGAGGCGGCAGACCCTGGCCGGGCGGTAGTGCCACAGCGCGTGCCAGCCCTGAGGACGCAGACACCAGAAACGGCGTCCCCCAAAGCTCCGCGGGGCTGGGTAGGGAGGAACTAGTAATTCAGTATTTAATATGCATCTCCTGGAGCTGCTCTCCATACCTGTGGGCGACTTCCTTAAGCCCCTAGGTCCCAGCCGCCTCGCCTCTATAATCTTTAGTTCAGGGTCATGGCAGAGCCTAATCTGCTTTCTAACTTCAGATACATGGCTGACCTCCAAAGGTCTAATTCACATGAGGACCCCCTAGGATCCTAGGCCAAAGCGGGTTACTTTTGGTAGATTTGTCGTTATGTTCCTCAAAACAAGTATGATATGGGGGCTGTATAATAAATTTCTGAGCAGTGGGGACACTGATCCTAAGCTTAGCTAATGAGTGGAAGAAGATGTGAGCTAGGAGAGCCCCATCCTTCCTTAGTCTACCATCCTGGGCCTTTAACAGAGGAGAGGAAGTCCACATTCAGGTAGCAAGATGAGCAGTAGCACTTAAGAGCAACGTGGCCTATCCCAAGGAAAGCATCAATGCTAGTATTTTCGGATGCCTTAGGAGGGGTTTATGGAGGCAGGTGCTAGGGGAGCAAGACCATAGAGGGAAGTAGATGTTGGAGAGTGTGCTGTAGACGCCCTTTAGTCATGGGCCTCAGTGCAGCATTCTTCAGCAAGAGCTGCCCAGAGCACTCCAGAAGGAGACCAAGGGGAGGGAGAAGGCTGCAGGGTTTTCTTCCTGCCCACCATGGACCTCTCCACCTAAGGGAAATGTTTAAGAGTCCTGCTAGATAATGGAGGAGAAAGGCCTGTTGGGATAGGACCAGATGTGCTTGAAAAGAGTACACCCTTGGAGTCATCTGGGGAAAAAAATGGTGGTATAATAGTAATAATAATAATAGTGATTACCACAACTACGGTGGAATAAAAATAGGGACAAGGAATAGAGTCACAGTCATTATCTCATTTAATCTACAAAAGAGCGCTAAAAGTAGATGTTAGTATCTCTCTTTTATAGATGAGGAAACTGAGGCTTACAGCAGTTAAGATACTGGCTCTGGGTCACATGGCTTGCTTGACACCAAGCCTCTGGTCCTAACGAACACATAGGAGACCTCAGGTCCCAACCAGTTCTGTAACTTTATGATTCAAAATGGTAAAAGTTAGATTTTTATTCAGAATTCAAAAAGCAATCCGATATTCATCAATAATATCTCCATGGCAATGACACGTCCTCCTTTCCCTCCCAGTGTGTTTTGTAACTTAATTACAAACCCCAGCTTTATCGTCAGCAGGATAATGAAGACGTCTCTTTTTAAAAAAAGAAAAAACACTCCAGGTATAAATAGATATGGCTAAAAAAAACAAATTGGAATCGTAGGAAGCATGAACAAGTAGAGTGCACTGACAATTTGCCATAAAAATAGTTAATCTAATTAGTGGCTAAGCGTAAAGCTGACTCTACAGCATTGCAAGCAGATGTCAGAAAAATAATATCTGGCCTGTGTTGGTTTCATTAAAGCTAAAATTGCCACAACAAATGTGTGTCTGTTCATAACCGCTTTGTTAAAAGTCAAAAAGGGTCCACTGATATGTAAGGACGGTATATTGTTAGAGATGCCACCAAGTTAAGCTATCTGGTTATTGCTTTCTTAGGCAGAGTTAGGCTGTTTCTCATAGAGCCTTTCCAGGCAAGTTGGTGGTTACAAGTTCTGGCCAAGGAGCCTGCCTGCCTGACTTCAGTCCCAGCTCAGTCTGTTTGAAGTTGTGTGACTTTGGACAACTGCACAAGCCCACTTTGCATAGCCATGCAACCTCCCAGGAGGACCGAATGCATTATTACATACAAATCATGGAGAAAAGTATCTGTGCACAGTAAATATTAGTTCTTGTTATTCAGATTTAGGGTTTGCTCCTTCACCAATTAATAAAACCCAGACTGATGGCAGTTAACAGGAATGATCTAGAATCAGAGCTCTCCAATAAAATATAATATGATCCATAAATGCAAGCCACATATGTCATTTTCAATTTTCTAGTAGCCACGTTAAAAAAAAAAGTGAAATTAATTTTAGTATGTTTTACTTAACCCATTATATCCCAAAATTATTTCAACATGTAATCAATATTAAAAATTATTAGAGAGGTATTTTACTGTTTTTCATACTGTCTTTGAAATCTGGTATGTACTTTACATTTACAGCACATCTCAATGTGAATAGCCACGTTTCAAGTGCTCAGTCACCACATGTGGCTGGAGACTACAGAACTGGATGGTGCAGTTTGAGAGATCAATACATATCACTGTAGACAGAACTCACAATCAAAATGGTGAGAGGAAAAAAGCAAGTTGCACAAGAGAAATAGAGTATGTTACTACCTATGTAAATATTTGAAGCATGAAAAATAACACTATACCTCATCCATAGATACAAGACATATATATAAAAAGTTTTTAAAAGGAACTGAAAGGTATACTACACATTCCTGGGACAGGGGATGGGAATATAACCAGCACTGCAACTCTCGGTGTAATGTTATATTTCTTTTATATATTGTGAGAGGACTTAAAGCAAAAAGGAAAAATATGGACAATTGCCAAATATAGAAGTGGGTACGTGGGAGTTTGATACATTAGAATCCAGGTTCTGCTAGTTTCTGGCTGTGTGACCTTGGACAAGTCATTTAACCTTCCTGTGCCTCAGTTTCCTCATCTGCAAAATGGAATCATAACAGCCCTTTCCTGATAGGGCTGCTGTAAGGGTTCCAGGAATTCATGTCTGTAAAAAGCTTTGAGAGTAAGCACTATTTAAGCTTTAGCTTTAGGAGCTTAAATAGCTCCTATTTTTGGAGATAGGTGCAAAAATAGCCATCTCTCTGTCAGACAAGTGTCACGGGGATTGTTAAACTGGTCATGTCATCGAACCATCGGGGGCTTTGTCAAAGCTATGTCCTTACACATGATTCATCCTTTTCTTTGATCATCTGGAGCCTCGGGCAGGGTGGAAAAGCTACATGATACTTTGATTTTTGTGAGTTAAAAAAAATAGGGAGCAATCATTATTCAGGCCAAACGTAGCGCAGCACGTGCCAAGAGTCAGCTCCCTCCAGCGAGACGCATGCTTACGCCTCAGAACAAAGCCTTTGCTTCAGATCTGCCTTGAGATTGCTTTTCTTCTTTCTCTGAGCTCAACTAAATTTATTTATTTTTGTTCCTTTCAACTGTTCTGTCGTTACTCCAAGATACTCCATTATGCCCAGTTTCTCAACCCGCTTGTTTCAGTGGTTCCATTTCCAGAAGCACTCTTGATGGGGTATTTCAGCACACAAATTCAAGCACATTTCTTTCAGACTCAGAATTTTCTCCTTAAGTCCTCTCCTTTAGTCCTTATTCCTGCTTACTGTGTTTCGCCAGACCTCCACCCACTTTTGATACGATACAAACGAGAGGCAATCCATTCCAGGAACTAGCTTTTTACTAAAATGGTTCATTTTTGTTGTGATATCATATTTGTTCCAATCTCTTTACTAAGTCATTTTCACTCAAATTATTTGTTAGCCAAGTTTTTTTTTCCTTTCTACCAGCTGTTCCCCCAAAGCCTCATCCTTATCTCCTTCTGTTAATCCTTTTTAAAAAAATAACCTCTTTCTCATGATGGCCTTTTGGCTTTTTCTCACTCTTCAGTCCTCCCTTTCTCTAGAAGTTGCCTTGTTTTCTTTATTGGATTTATTGAAAGTCTTTCGACTCTTGACTACTAACTCCAGTTGCAAAATTGTAGTTAAAAATTATTGGGCCGGCCCCGTCGCTTAGCGGTTAAGTGCACTCGCTCCGCTGCTGGCAGCCCGGGTTGGGATCCCGGGTGCGCACCGACACACCGCTTCTCCGGCCATGCTGAGGCCACGTCCCACATACAGCAACTAGAAGGATGTGCAACTATGGCATACAGCTATCTACTGGGGCTCTGGGGAATAAAAGGAGGAGGATCGGCAGTAGATGTTAGCTCAGGGCTGATCTTCCTCACACACACAAAAAAATTATTATGCAACTGGCATGCTGAAGAGGATAGGACATTCGCTGCCCATGAGTGCTGTGTGGCTGGTCTTCGTGGTTCAGGCCCGTGGCTGGGTTTCCAGACCTTTTGGGACAGGAGGAGATAGCCCGTAACTACAGACATTCAGAATATCCCAAACTGTAGAAGCCAACAAGTTCCAAGCTGAGAAATGGAAGCAGCATTGAGAGGGAACAGCAGCCTCCATCCTGCTGTCCTTCATCCTCTCCTGGCAACATGTCTTGAAAAATGTGGTTTTGTGAGCTGTGAACATTTCCTGCCAATTCTTTAGCTAACAAACTGTGTGACCCTAGAGCTGTCAAGAAATACCTTCTACCTGTCCACACACCATGTTTTGGCTGCCAGCTTTGTGCCTAGGACCGTGCCAGGATCACTAGACAGAGGGGAGGATGGGGAGCACTCCCGCCAAACCACGGGA